TCGCTCGCTCGCTCGCACGGCTCCTGCGGATCAGGCAGGCCGATGGCAAGCTGGCGGGAGCATCCCCGCGCCCGACCGGCAGCCTAGCCGTCCTCTGACCCGTATTCTAATCAGCCTAGTAGGCACGTTTGCTCGATTTGCATTGTTTTGCAGGCCAATTCACAACGTCAGAATAAAAACGGGCCAAAACAAATCCTCCGATTTTCCCCCGCCACTGGCCTGGGCAGAGGGCCTGGCTGCTGGCGTCCGTCCCTGACGTCCTTGCGCTTCTGCCCTCAAGAGGGAGCTGCTGCTGCGAATTCCCGTCGTCTCTGTTGGACAGCAATCACACCTTCGCTGGCTCGTGGAAAAAAAAAAACTAATTAATCCCTATTTGGGAGATACTTTTATTAGAGCCGAGTAAAATCGCCCCAAGAAGATGCAACTTTTCCAGCTGTCCAGACTTCTGCCTCTGACAGGACAGGGACGGAGATGCAGCAAGGAAGTCCCCAAATTGGGCAAAAGTTTTCAGCGATGAGGGATAACAGCCCCTTGGCTTAATTTATGGACAGCCTTATTTATTATTCTGTACCTTGTAATTTTGGAGGTAAAATTACAAGGTTGACTCCTGGTGACGCCACATGTTGTTTTCTTGGGAATCAAGCAGGATAGAATATTATTTTGACTTTGCAGGCTAGTTTAGTGCTGGGTGGATTTCTATACAAGCACTATCCAGGTCTGAACTTTGCTTGGTTCTTCTGACATCAGCCAAAGTTGGCTAGCTGGTGCCATCTGCTGTGATTCTGCTTTTATTTCTTGCCTTTTTTCCAAGGACTTATTCTCCATTCTTCCATTGCCTCTTCTCCAGTACAAGCCAAATTCAAAGTCTGAGAGTTTACAAATTTCGTTAAGCCAAATGTTGGCTTATGCAAAATGTTCGTTAAGCAAAATGTTGGACACCCAAGAGTGCAGAATCACCATTTTCACAACTGTCCAAGCTTGATATATCCTAAGTTCTTCCTTTGGTGGAAGGTTTCCAGATTGTTGGAATATAGTTTAACAAAATCTTAACATCTGTAACTCTTGTCTGCCTTCCCAGAACCTGGTTCACCATGGTTATATTATACCCAATAAGGAATTACAAGTGGGCATGCCCATAATATGTACCAAAGTCCCTTCAAAATTTATTACATCACCAGCATAAGGGTGACATCCAATCTTTTTAAAACATTTTTTGAGGAGTCCAACAGACCCTGAAGATAATGTTTTGCAGAACTGAGTTGTTAAGTCAAAAGAAACATATTTAACATTCCTTAAACCCTATAGGCATCAGGGTAATAAAAAATCTCTATTCAATATTTCTTGTATATTTATTTTTGTATTTTTTAAAAAATGATAATAATAAATTATCAGTTTAGTTTCAGTAAAGTTCTCCAATTCATTCAATGCTTCCATGATGGCAGAGGTCACGTTGGCATGTGACAAGTGTTTTAACTGTATATATTGTTAATCAGCCTTTCTAGATAAATTGCATTCCTTTTGTAAAATCTCAAAAAAAATTAAAGGTATCTTTATTATCTTTATTTAATAGTTCGTTAATAATGATTCAAGTATGAGCCCATGCTTCCAAAAAAAAAATGTGTTACCAGCTATTTTTAGATGAGATTTGCCCTAAAATATCAGTTTTTCATGACAGGAAAATCAGATTTGGCTTTTCTGCCCAACAAGGCCCAGACATGTTCAGTCACCTTCAGTGCTGGGAAAATAACCATTTTTTTCCTGTAATTAGAGCCTGGAACTTGCCAGGATTGCAAAAATACTTTCCTCTCAGGCTGAGCCCCCAGTTAACAAATAAGCCCAATGGTATTATTTAAAATCAGGAAAATTAAAACTATCATTATCATAAGAGAAACATAACTTTAACAGGAAGATCTTAGTATTTGTTCCTTCCATAAAAAAATTTAACCATAAAATTTATTTTTTATAGTAATTTTATTAAAAATTACAAATACAATTAAAACTAATACAAACTAAAAATAAAAGAATAAAAATAAAAATAGAAGTGCAGAACAGAAAAAATAGAAAGAAAAATAGAAAAGAAAGAAAAAATAAGAATATAGTAAAGAATAAATAAATATATATATATAAAGAAAGGACTTCCCCCTTCATCACAAGTATAGACAATTTTAGTAACTTATCACCTTTTCTTAAAATAAAATTATCGCTTCTTCCCATATCTCATCTCTTATCTATAAAGAAATCCTTAAAGCCTCATCATTTCAGTCCTGATATCAGCAAAAGTCCATTAAGGGTTACCAGAGATAACAACGTATCTATTTTAACCTTGACCAGATAAACCAATTTTATATTCCTTCCTTTTACTTTTAACAATCTTGATCCTTAGTCTCTTCAAATAATGTCCTAGAATTTGACTTCTTTTCATTTTTTCTTTGTCCCTTCTCTCAAAATTCTTCAAAGCTTTAACAAGCCTCTTTTGTAAATCCAGTGTAGGAAAATTATCTATGTCACTCTCTTGGTTAGTTATTGGTATATCCCTTTCAATGATTAAGACATCAGCTGGTTTCTTTTGTGTGTCCAATGTAACATCTTTTTTCCATGTTATTCTTGTAGCCGGTCATTTTTAAGTCCACTTTCAGATCAGTCTCAGTCCTGTCAGGTAAAAGTTGTTCCTCATCCATAACATTTTTTAAACACAGTCTATTGATAGGGGCAGATGCTCTTAAAATTAACTTCTGGGTTCATTGTTCAGAAATATCCCTCAGTACATCCAATGCTGAAATATTTTGCTTCATTCTGTATTTGCATGTTGAATTTAAGTGTTCTTCTCCTTTCATTGTAAACTTTAGTTCCTTCTAGTTCCCTCTAGTGTCTTTTTAAAGTCTTATCTTATTATGTTTTTTAAAAATGAATTCAAAGCAAAAGCATTTTCTCATGGGAAGGATTCTTATAACTAATTCCAAAATCTTATTTCAAATTTATCTGGACTCTTAGTCCATTTGTAACTTTCTAAAATCAAAGCTTTAATCACCCCTTTGCTGTTTATTTCCCCCCCCCCAAAATGTAAGTCCTTAAACTTGTATTTAAAACTTCTTTAGCTAAGGATTCAAGGAAACTCACCCAGTGTTTTCAGACTTGTCAATCCAAAGGTTCCTAATAGCTGAAAAGCAATTAATAAGCAATTTCCTAAAGTGATTAGAAAAGGAAATATGCAAATCCAGTGTCCTTTTGAAGGCACCAACTGTGGTTTGAGCAAGATGGCTATTCCTTCATTTCCCAGAGCTCTAAACCCACCAGAGACTGCTGACTTGCAATCTCCTCATGAGGAACAACTGTCTAGAACACTTGTGGGCATTCTCAAGTCCTCTCCTTGTCCGGAGAAGAATTACAAAGAGCCAGTCTACTTGCCGGCTCTTCATTCTGCCACAGTTGTTGGCTCTGCTTTTCACAGAGCCATCTTCAGTTGTCCATTTCTTCCCCAGAAGTCCATAAAGTTTATTTCATTTTATGGATATCCCACCTTTATTATTTTGTTTTTGTCTGAAGCTCAAGGTGTCATGGCCTAGGACTCAGACGACTCAGATGTTGAGGAAGAGGCTCCAGCAGAACCTGTGGAATATCAGCCTCCGGAGACCAAAGCCAAGAATCACCTGAGGCTGATCAAACATAGGCACCATTGGAGCAGCTGGAGAAGTCAGATGATTTTGATGGCATCAAGCCACCCAGCCCCCATACCTGGTGAGTAGAGCAACGTTGTTCTATTAGGCTCCTTGCCAAGCAAGGGAGTAAATCTCCTAATTAGTGACAGCTGGCTGCAGCCTGATTTAAGAAGCAACTCTGAGCTGGGCTCCTTTTGCTGGAAACAGTGTCTGATCTCCAGCTCTTGCATGACACTTGTATGTGGATTCTGCCTTTGAAATTTTGACTTTTGGACTGGCTGACAGCCGTGACCCAGCTCTCTGAACCTTGGACTGATTTTGGACTGTACTTCTGCATGCTTCTGTTAACAGCACATCATTCAGGCAAGCAACTGTCAGAGACTCTGTTCTGTTTTGCATTCTTTTGTCGTCTCTTCAGTCTTGAAGTAAAATTGCTAATCTCCATAGCGACCATGTTGGAGTGTATGTAATTGAAACCTGAGGTAGGATACAAGGCAACATACATAACATTCCTTTCTCCTATTTCCCCATAACAACAACCCTCTGAGGTGGGCTGAGAAATAGTGACCGGCCCAAAGTCACCCAGCTGGCTTTCATACCTAAGGCAGGCCTAGAACTCACAGTCTCCCAGTTTCTAGGCCAGCAACTTAGCCATGACACCAAACCGGCTGTCATCAATCTGTTTATCCTGTTATATCAGTGAAAGTAGGACTGGCTTATGCTAAATATTTGTAGTGAGAATATTTACAATTGTGACTCATGTCTTCATCAATTTGGGTTTAGACTGCTGCAACATGCTTTACATGGGGCAGCCCTTAAAGATGATGTGGAAGTGCAATTAGTGCCAAATGCAGCAGCTCAGCTACTAATAGGTACAAGTAGATTTAATAGCATTACACCCGTTGTTGGGTTGCTGCATTGATTGCCCATAGGCTTCTGGATCTATTTTGAGGTGCTGTTTTAACCCATAAAGCTCTATATGACAAAGGACCTGTATATTTACTGGATCTCTTGCCCAGACTTAGC